GGAATTCAGGTGATCGTCGTCTGAATTTGACGAACTCGGTCTAGTAAGATCTTGAGAATTTCTGGGCGTTCGGCTAATTCTTCGGCTTGCTCTGTCGTGAGTCTCGCAGCGAAACCATGAAAAGCAGTCTTGTACACATGAATGAAATCTCTCTCTTTTTCTCTCTGGGTGGTTTCGGACTTTTTCGAGTCTGATTGGTATGAACTGAGACTTGCAATGGTGGAACTGTACCAATCCTCCGAATCGGAAAACCTAGATGGTTTCAAGTCGTTTCGGATTTTGACAATAAAGCTTTGGAATTGGGTGTCTCCAAAAAAGGAGTGCAAGGGGAGGATCCCAATTCCTAACCACCCACCCACATGTAGCGTACTCCCACAAACTCCAATCATAGGGGGCTGCTATGGATGAGTTCGGATCATCTGCCACACTTATCTGCGGCCCTTCCAGCAGCACTTAAAAACGACGTGGTTTTGAATTTTTTTTTTTTTGTTCCTTCTTTTCAGCCCCTTTTCCTTTTCATTTTTGAACCCTAGGAATTCAAGTGATCGTCGTCTGAATTTGACGAACTCGGTCTGGTAAGATCTTGAGAATTTCTGGGCGTTCGGCTAATTCTTCGGCTTGCTCTGTCGTGAGTCTCGCAGCGAAACCATGAAAAACAGTCTTGTACACATGAATGAAATCTCTCTCTTTTTCTCTCTGGGTGGTTTCGGACTTTTTCGAGTCTGATCGGTATGAACTGAGACTTGCAATGGAGGAACTGTACCAATCCTCCGAATCGGAAAACCTAGATGGTTTCAAGTCGTTTCGGATTTTGACAATAAAGCTTTGGAATTGGGTGTCTCAGACATTGGTGGAATTTTTTTTTGGCTAATCCCTTGTTTATTTCAAGATTTCCACACAAAAAATTCATTATCTTCATTTGGGTTTACATGATTACTATTTGAAATATTCCTTTATTATCAAATTATAATTGAAAAAAACACTATTAAGTATAGTATGACTCTGTTTAATTGATTGGTTTTTCTCATCATTATATTCAAAGCTTTGGTTGTTCTTTACAGAGAGTGGGTGTGAATCTGGGTTTATTTTTCTAATGGGTGTGATTTGGTAGTTTTTAGAGAGAGAAAAGTAGAAGAAGAAGGAGATGGTGGGTTTGGTAGGTTTTATAGAGAGTGGGTCTGGGTTTACTTTCTATCAGGAAGAAGAATGGAAGAAGAAGGAAAGGAGATGGAGAAGAAGAGGTGACTAGTTTGGTTCAAAAACGAAACGGGCTAAGAAAAAAAAAAAAAAAAAAAAAAAAAAACCTAAAACGACGTCGTTTTGTAGGGCCGCTGGAACGGCCGCCGAAAATAGTGACAGATGATCCGGATTTTGTTGTGGATCACTTGACCCCACTCTATTTTGAAAAGTCAGGATATTTACTGGGAAGGTTTGGAAAATAAATTTTCTAGTATTTTTATATATTTTTTTAATAAAATATAAAGTAAAAAAAATTAATAATTTAAAAAGAATTTTTTAATATTTTACAAAATATATACAAAAAGTAATGTGAATGGGAATAATCATTTACTTTGTAGAACAACTATGCTGCAGACCCCCAGTGGGGGTCGCACCCCCAGTGAGGTGGCGAGCCCCCACTGGCTGAAACTCAAAAAAATAAAATAAAATAAAGTAAAACAGTTTTTTTTTTGTCCAATCACGGCGCGCCACCTCACTGGGAGTCGACCCCCAGTGGGGGTCCGAAGCATTTTTCCTTTGTAGAATGAATGAAAAAGAATTTCCAACCTTTTTGTATAAGTTAAAAAATTGAAATTTTTTTGGTACTTTTTTTAGTATTTTTAAAATTTTTAGCTAAAATATTAATTCTCAAATGGACCCTAAATTTTTGGATAATTTATACCTACATCCCTAAGATTTATGTTTAATATAAATACATCCTTACATTCTTAAAATTACATTCCCATCCCTAAGGTCTATAATTGCATTACAAATTTCCCTTTTTGTTAAATAATTGTTACGTAAACCAATAACTTTTGTTGGTGTCACCACCAAAACTTTTAAATATCAAATTGTAACAGTCTAGTTGCTCAAAAAAAAATTGTAACAATTTAAGATTGTTTGAAATGACCTAAATAAGTATATTTTTTGTCTTTTTATAAAAAGATATGCAAAAAAATAAAGAGATGATGTGATGAAAAAAAGATAAAAAAATATAAAAATAAATTATTTTTGAATTGCCAAACTTGACCTTAGTGTTGATACACTATGATAAATAAACCACCAAAAAAAACTTTTTTAAAATTCAATCCTTCGCAATCCGAAATTGAATCAAATTTTGAACCTTTAAGCCCTGTTTGTTTTTCCAATTGAGGCTTGGGATTAATATTAATAGTGAAGTGAGATTTACAAATATCACGTTTGTTTGCAAAATAGTCATTGTTTGCAAAATAGTCATTGGAGTGATAGTCCTTTCGGACTCTAACCCCTGGGGAGGATTCATACCCCCCCTAAAAAAAAAAAAAAAGGGAATTAGCATAGGCCTAGAAGGCTTTGTATTAGAAATAAAACCGTTGGTATTAGTGTGAAAGACAATTTTGCCTACAGGAAGTTCAGCAACACCATTATTTATTCCTTCCATCTTCAGAAAATATCTACAAATCCAGAAATTTACAAAAAAATTGGCTCAACTGTGGACATAAAATTTGCAAATTTTTTTTAAAAAAACACTATACATATACAAACATCCATAAACCCAGAAATCTGCAAGAAAAAATATACATATACCCAAATGAGGAAACGCCGTTGTTCTTGTTAAAGTTGATGATCTCAATCTCATTCTCCGTCCGCCTTAGATGGATGAAGTGAAAGCTGTTGGGTTTATGAATGAGGTGTTAATGGGATGAAATACAATGGGGTGTTTGGCAATAGGTTTTTTTTGACTTTTTTTTGACTAAAATAACACTAAAAGATAAATAGGCTAAACTAGTCAATAATGTAAAATGTTACATAAAACCTATAATTATTTCATTTTTCTCTCACAAATATCACATCTAACTATAAATATAAAATAAAATAAAATCCAGCATTCTTCCCAAACACAACTATAATTTAACCTCTTAAAATAGCTAAATAGTCTATTAAAATAGTTAACTTCCCAAACACTTCAAAACCATGGGCTGGTTTTGAATAAATCATTATTTTATATTTTTTTATATAAAAATAATTTGATATAATAATATATTATAAAATATAATTTTTAATATTAAAATACATCAAAAACAACAAGAGGATATTAATGGCATTTAATATGTTAATTCACTTACTAAAATATATCACAGACAAACATAATTTTTCGTAATTCACTCATTAACAATTCTTATACTAACAATCCTCTCACTAACTATTGTCACACTAACAGTCATATCTATCTTACTTCGAAAACAAATGAGACTTGAAATTCTTCAATTGGAGTACTGGATATGGGTGTATAAAAGATATGTGTGGATATATTGAGAGAGAAGGGATGAAGGGAAAGATGAGAAAAATGAAGGGAGAGAAAATGGTAAATCGGATAACAAATAAATGATGAAATGGGAAAAATATCATTTAACCATTGTTGTTAATCTCATTAATCAATAAACACAGATGGGAAGGTAAATATAATTTTTAGAACCTCGCGGAGAATTTGTGTAGCTAGTGTGGGTGTAATTTATCGAAATTTTATATTAAATTTAAAATTACTATTTTTTTGTTTTTTTATTTTTCTATTTTTTTAATTATTATAAATTTCTCAGAAAGTACAAAACTTAATACATTGCACACCAAAAAAATGAGTGGAATGCAAAACAAATCAATTTGTATAGCTAGTGTGGGTGTAATTTATCGAAATTTTATATTAAATTTAAAATTACTATTTTTTTGTTTTTTTATTTTTCTATTTTTTTAATTATTATAAATTTCTCAGAAAGTACAAAACTTAATACATTGCACACCAAAAAAATGAGTGGAATGCAAAACAAATTTCAGAAAGATAAAGAGAGCCTCACATGAGGAGGACACCAATCTCCATGCATGGAGAAAAATAAACCTCCACACGCAAACAGGGACGGAATTATGAAGGGGCTGTCAGGGGCCACGCCCCCCGCTTAAATTTTTTTTTTTTATTTATATGTATATTTTCAACAAAGTATTAATAATAAAATGACCCTGCTTTATTTTGTGGGCTGGGCTGGACTCAATCAAAGTATTAATAATAAAATGACCCTGCTTTATTTTGTGGGCTGGGCTGGACTCAATCTATTTGTTAGATGGCCAGGGAGGGCCATGTGCCTTCTTTTTAAAAAAAAAAAAAAAAAAAAAAAAACCATATTTTGTTCTAAATATATATATATATTATTATTATGTATAATTATATTAATATATTTTCATATAAAATATATTTTTTTAAAAAATCAAAATTTTAAAGGTACAATCTAACTATATATTTTTGGGGTAAATAAAAAAAAAAAAAAAAAAAGTATTGCTTCTGCTATTAATCTTTTCATTATTACATGTATGTGATTCATATTATCTTTTATTATTGTTTTCAATTTGTAATACTTTTATTATCTTTTTTTTAATGTCATATTGATACAATTGTAATTTTTTTTTTAATTTTACATTTTGAGAAAAAAAATCATGAATTAGGACGTATGATTTTAATTACTAGGGTTTTTTTTTTTAAATCATATTTGGGCAAATTTAATTTTATTCAGATTAAGTGTTATAAATTCAAAATTAAAATGAATTGAGACTTGTATAAAATTTATGTGTTGAATCTGAATTCTGAATTTTTAAAATTATATGAAATTTGTTTTAATTATATTTGTTATTCTAGGCACAAAAATTTTCTATGTCCTGTGATATATATATATATATATATTACATTAGCAATTGGTTTTAATTTCTAATAGAATATTAACCATGTATGTAATGAATTCTATTTTGATTTGTAGATTATTATGGAAAAACCATGTACAATTGATAGATTTTTTAAAAGAAAAAATGCAAGTTTCTCAGAAGTCAATGCTGACAATACATCATTGCCAACTTCCAATGTTAATATCCTTGAAAAACCTCCCATAAAATCTCAAAAGATTGATGTTAAAGAAATTGATATTGGTTCATTAGAGCGAGATCTTAGATTACGTATACAGATTTGGGATTATCATGTTAATCAACGTGATGAAATTCGACGAGCTTATATTAAGGCTGGTCCATACCAACCTATACTTTCAAAGTATCCGAAATCTGGATCAACAACTCATCTTCGTAGCTTTCAACTGTCATGGTTCAAACTATTTCCATCATGGTTGGAATATTCACCTGCAAAAGATGCAGCTTTTTGTTTACCATACTTTCTTTTTTATAAACCATGTGGATCTGGATATTATGGGCAGCAAGCATTCACTATTGATGGGTTTCAGAATTGGAAAAAAGTTAGGGATGGAGAAAAATGTGCTTTTTTAAATCATATAGGAAAAGATCTTAATTCTTTTCACAATGTTGCCAAGAGATCATGTGAAGACTTGATAAATCAATTTCAACATATACAAAAGGTATTGGACAATTTCACTTCTGAACAAATTGTAGATAATCGATTAAGACTGAAGGTCTCAATTGATACAATCCGATTGCTTGCATTTCAAGGTTGTGCTTTTAGACATCGTGATGAAAGGCCAAATTCAATCAATCGTGGAAATTTTCTTCAAATAGTGAAATTGTTGGGATCATATAATGATAATGTTGCTAAAGTATTGGATAAAGCTCCGAAAAATGCCTCTTACACATCACCAAAGATTCAAAAAGAAATTTTACATATTTTTTCAATCAAAGTGAAGAATGCAATTCGTGAAGAAATTGGTGACGTGAAGTATTGCATAATTGTTGATGAAGCTCATGATGAGTCAAAGAAGGAGCAAATGGCTATAGTTTTGAGATTCGTTGACAAAGATGGTTTTGTGAGAGAGCGTTTTTTTGGGCTTATTCATGTCTCTAACACTACTGCATCAACCCTAAAAGATGGAATATATTCTGTATTGTCTCATCAAAATTTAGATATTCAGAATATTCGAGGACAAGGATACGATGGTGCAAGCAATATGCAAGGTGAGTGGAAAGGATTGCAAGCATTAGTTTTGAATGATTGTCCATATGCTTATTATATTCATTGTTTTGCACATCATTTGCAGTTGGCTTTAGTGGCAACATCGAAAGATGTTATCCCAATTCATAAATTTTTTCTTAAATTGGCTTTTGTTGTCAATATTGTTGGTGCCTCATGCAAGCGCAATGATGAATTGAAAGTTGGGCAAGCTGCTGAAATTGAACATATGATTGACATTGATGAGCTCGAGACTGCAAAGGGACTTAACCAGATTGGCACTTTACAACGAGCTGGAGATACTCGTTGGAGTTCTCACTTCAAGTCAGTTTCAAGCTTAATAAAAATATTCAGTCCAACATGTGAAGTTCTTCTTAACATCATTAATGAAGGAGCGACTTCTGCCCAACGAGGAGATGCAAACTCAGCTTATGAAATATTGACTTCATTTGAATTTGTCTTTATTTTGCATCTCATGAAAGAAATGTTGGAGATCACTGATTTACTTTGTCACGCTTTGCAATGCCAATCTCAAGACATCTTAAATGCAATGAATCTAGTTTCATCTACCAAAGCACTTCTGCAAAAGTTTAGAGATGACAAATGGGATGCTTTACTAGCCAATGTGCAATCATTTTGCGAGGTACGTAACATAGATGTCCCGAATATGAATGCTCCTTATATTAGGAGAAGAGGTCGAGCTCGTGATCATCAAGATGACTTTACAGTTGAGCATTATTATCGAGTAGATATTTTTTATGCTGCAATAGATTCTCAACTACAAGAATTAAATGGATGGTTCAGTGAACATGCAGTAGAGTTGCTTAATCTTAGCTCAGCTCTAGATCCTCGAGATATGTCTGAAACTTTGAGAATCGACGATATTTGTCAGTTAGTAGAAAATTTTTATCTGCAAGACTTCAAAGATCAAGAGAAAATACAGTTGAGAATGCAACTTCACCATTACGAGCATAATGTAGTTCAGCATGTAGATTACAAAAAATTGTCTACTATTTCTGAATTGTGTCAGTGGTTGGTAAGGACAAACAAATCTACGATCTATCAACTTGTTTATAGAGTGATTACACTTGTTCTTACTCTTCCAGTTTCTACTGCAACTACGGAGCGATCATTTTCAGCCATGAAAATTGTCAAAAGTAGACTTCGCAACAAAATAGAAGATGAATTTCTTACAGACTCTTTGCTTGTGTACATTGAAAAGGAAATTGCTGAAAATTTTACCACAGAGTCAATCATTGAAGACTTTCGAGATATGAAAGACGTCGAGTTCCACTTTAATAGATAATTGAGTTGATTTGTATAAATAATTTTTTAATACATGACTTTGCTTTTATTCATATATTAAATTTAGTAAATATATGGTTTTATTGTTTACGTACTAATTTAATATTAAATTTTAGTTTACTTTTTGAATTCAAAAAAATAGTAATTTTTATCAATTCATATAAAAAAAATTTATTTATGTCTTGGCCCTCCCGCAAATAAATTCTTGGTTCCGTCCCTGTGCAAGAAGTCACTTTATTAAATAAAAAAAAAATTCATTTTGCTAAAAAAAATTAACTCATTTAGCAAATTCATTTCTTGTTAAAAAGCTTATTTTATCCTTTTTAATAAAACCATTAGAAAAGTTTTAAAAAGTAAGAATATACTAAACCAAAACTAATTTTTTTAGAATTAGCTTCCCTTTTTTTTTTCTTTTTTCTTTTTTTGTAGGCTTAGGGTTGGTTTGGCAATGGTATTTTTAGTATTTTATTATTATTATTTTTTAGAATAAAGTTGTTAAAAAAAATTATGCATTTAGTGAGTGATAAAAATAAAAATTTCTTAGTGGAAAAATTGAGTGGTTTAGGATTAGGGAGGTAAAAAAAAAATCAAAAAAATCGATTAAATTGATTGAATCGGACCAAATTAGCTATATTTGGTCTGTCTTTTAACAACAATCGGTCTGTACAGTTTTTAAATTTGATTTTTCTGGGTTTTCGGTTCGGTATTGGTTTAAGCACTCTGTGCACCGATCTAAACCGAAACCAACCGTTTAAACATATATTGTATTTAATATATATATAATCTAATAATATAATGATATTAATAAGTATAATAAATTATTAACCTTAATTAATTAAGCTTATCATCTTTATAATGTAAGTTTGTAAACTCTTATTATATATAATTTTAACTCTAACTTAGGGGTTGTTTGGGGTGTCCTAAATAAGTGCATTTTTTTATCTTTTTGTACTAAAAAATTGAGGAAGAAAATATAGATGTTTGGGTTAACTTTTTGACTTTTTATGAAAAAATGTATAATAAAAAATTGTAAAAATTGATTTGTAAGGAAAAATTAGGATTAGGAGTTGTGCAGCCGTAATTGTTGACTTTTGATGAATAGTGTTAACTTTTTAACTTTTTAAGTAATTTTTTGACTTTTTGATTTTTTTATAATATGCCAAACTTGGCCTCAATATTCTTGAAACCTTAATATTTTTTAACTTTTTTTGTTTTTATTTTTGTTAATTTAGGAATTGAAAAGTATGTATTAAATGGATGGATTGAATATGTTTGAAATGGTAAACAAATAATTAATTTAATGTTTTTTTTATAGATTAATAATTATATTTAAAAATGGCTCAAATTAAAAAAATTCTAAACCGATTAAACCGCATCAAATTGAACAGTTTCAATCAGTTCGGTTCAGTATGGTTTGATGGGAGAAGCGGTTTGTATCGGTGTTCAAAATAATAAAACCGACATTATCAATTCGATGTAATTTTTTACTAAACACCACCGTACCGAACCAATTACATCCTTAATTAGGATGGTTCAAAATGGGTTATGCTTAAAAATAACCTAACTCAAAACTCATTAATTTAATAAATGGGATAAGTTAAAGAGGGATTTGGTCAAAACCCTCACATACTAAAATTTTAATGCATTAAAGACAAGCACAAAAAATTTTCCTTGAAAAGTTCAACAAATATCACTATTATCAAAATATTAAACTTTAAAATAATATAACTTTTGATGCAGATGTCAATTTTTAATAAAATTAATATTTTTAAAATTCTCTCATCAAGATGTGTAAAATAAGATACATGTTGACTATAAAATTCTTTATTTTTAAAAAATTATTATCGTTGAAATTGATGTAAACAGTAACAGTAACATGTTACTTTATATGACAATTATTCTATTCTATTTGATAATAACATGTTACTCTGGTAATATTGTCCAAGAGAGAGAAAAAAAAGATATTTTAGTTTATCCTTACTCAATTATGTGTCTTTTCCTTAGGGGGTTTATGAAAATAAATAAATTAGGCTGTCTTTTTCACCAAAAAAGGGTCTAATGGAGGGATTTTGACTAAATTTTCCTAAAATGGAATAAGAGTTGGACATATAAACTCGACCAACTCATTTACTTTATTTTTTTCTAGTGGCGGGAAAGGATGTGGTAGTGGTATGGTAGAAGTGATACCCATTTAAGTCGGTTTAAACAAGTACTTCTCTCTAACCTATTTAAACTAAGGGGTGGTTTGAGATGATCTAAAAATAAGTGAATTTTTTTATTTTTTTATGAAATATGAGTTGGTTATGGATTGGGTTTGAACTGATGTGATAGAAAGGTGATGTGACTTAAATAAGATGATGTGACTTAAATAGGATAGTGATTTTTTGATTTTTTTGAGTTATGACAAAAAAAAAAAAAAGCCTAAATTTTAATGCAATTCATTTAAACTTGTTTACAGGTTTGACCGGATTTAAACATGTTATAAATTAATATAATTCGAATTTACAGTTTTAGATTGAATTTTCCATCGGAAAGTTAATGTATTCAAAATAAATATATAAAAAAAATAAAAAAAAATTGCGGGTCAGTATTGGGGAAAATTAGTGTAAGGTCCCTCTCCCGTTTTTAGTAATGGAATAGATCCACAATATTATTTTATGATGTCTAAGGTCCCTTAACTCTCACACCCATGTATCACAGAGAAATTTGACTAAAATCAAACCTTAGCTTTCCACTTCTCTCTCTCTCTCTCTCTCTAGAATACATTTACAAACATATATATAGCTTCAATGGCGGTGGAGCTGTTGTGGTTTCCGAAGATGGATAAACAGATGGCGAGATAAGAGGCAGCTTCAACTGGATCCATCGTGGACCGCCTTGTCCTCCGTCGTCTTCCTCCTCGTCTTTTCTTTTCTGTGATTTTTTTTTTTTAGGGAAGGGGTTATACCCTGTTTATTACTTGCAGATTTCTGAGCCACTACAGGCATCAATAACAGGAGCTCCTTTGGAGGATGCTCACTATTTGACTCATCGTTATGACAGACTCCGCCAAGAAGTGGAAACACAAGTACTCTTTGATTCCACATCTAGGTATATTTGGTGGTATTGCGGTAGACTAGAGGAATGGTGGTAGTGATATATTGAATATATCATTTTACTAGGCAGTTGAAGTGATAAAGTGTCAATCAAAGTGTAAAGATCCTTCGACTTCGGCAGAGATTTCAATAAAGCTTCAAAATGTAGAAAGAAAATTGAATGAACTTAGGTCTGCATTGATGGCCCTTGGAAGGGAAGCAATCACTGCTATGTTGTCAGTGGAGGATCAGCAGCAAAGGATCACTTTCCAAAAGCTTCTTACCATGGTATTTAGTGAAGCCAAAGAAAATTTCAAATTTCTCTGGAGTGCTTCAGAGAGTCCAGCAGAAGGGGGTTGAAGAGAGAGAAGGTGGAGAGTCAAGAGAAATTCCGAAGTCTAGAGAAATTTGGTTAAAACATAGAGAATCCAGAATTTCAAATTCTGAAATCCAGAGAAATTTCCAGAATTTCTCTGGTAATAGAAATTTCTCAAACTGAGTACCTACCCTAGCACAGGTGATTACTAGAATTCCCTCAATCACACACAGTTGAAGTGTCAATTCAGTGCAGAGAACAATATGGTAATAGAAAGGCTGCTGTGTGTTATGGTCATAGTGAGTATCTGTGTTGTTCTTGGTTGTGGCTAGTATAGGCATATCAAAAAATGCACTGTGTTTGTAGCTAATAGCAAGCATATTTACATGATTCATGTGTGACCTCCTGAACTTCATATAATTCGTATATCAGTTTACAACACATTTGCACCATTGTGGAACTTTTTTATGTCATGTCCTGGGAATATACTTTTGCTATGAGTCTGTTAGTAGAATCCATTGATTCAAATGTTAGAATAAAACATCAGAAACATTTGCACTATTTGTTTTCTCAGAAAATGAATTTGATGTGGTCCCACCTGGAATTTCTTGTCTAAAGTTTGGTTAGGAGGTTAGGATGAAAATGATGAATCAAAGAAAATTTTTTTCTGGTTTGGTCTAGAGAAAATTCAGTCCAAACCAGAGATTAACCAACCCAGCTTTCTCTTAATTAGAGCACTAGAAACCAGAGAATTTCTCTGGACCAACCCAATTTTCTCTGCAGAGCACTAGTTCATTCCAAATAATTTCTCTGGGCCAACCTAATTTTCTCTAAAACAGAGCATTAGTTCAACCAAGAGAAAATTTAGTCCAAATCAGAGAATTTATCTGGACCATCCCAATTTTCTTTGAAACAGAGCACTAGTCCTTATTGTTGTCCAGAGAAATTTGGAGTTTTCTCTGTGATGTGTCCAGAGAAATTTGAAATTTTCTCTGTGATTTGTCCAGAGAAATTCTCTGGATCGAATTTTTTCTGGATCGAATTTTCTCTGGGTTGATGTTGAGGGACCTTAGACATCAAGAAAATATTGAATGTCCTTAATGCTATAAAATTTTAATACCAGGGACCTTAAAAAAAATTCCCCTCAGTATTGACTATTTTGTAATGTGATATTTTAAAAATATAATATTCTATTTGATTCATTTGAATTAGAGATCTTCAATGAGTAATATTAGGCATATTATAATTTCTACCAAATATTTTACTAAATATCATATATGAGATGGATTTTACATAAGTATGAAGTCCACATCTATATAAAATATTTACGAGTGGTTAGGAATGATCTAAATAAGTGTACTTTTTATCTTTTTATAAAAAGATGTGCAGAAAAATAAAGAGGTGATGTGATGAAAAAAAGATAAAAAGATGAATTATATAGGGAATGCCAAACCACCCTTTAATAAAGTATTTGATAAAAATTTTAAAGCTTTTACCATCTTCAATCTCCAACGAAAAATGATGCAGACCACTAATTAGTGGTTGTACTAGGGATGTGGCAGTAGGTCCCACCTATTGCCACATGTGTTTTGTGTCTTAGTTTTTGCTCTTTTTTTTTTTTACTTGTCACATTATTAGTGATGGTGTTAATGATAGAAATTTAGTGGTACGTAGCATTGTTGATCTCCAACCGCTTAAGCCCAAATGGGCTTGTCATATCATTTAATTATGACTTGCTATTTTGACACTACCTAGTGTCAAATCTAATTAACTTTTAATTTTTTTAATTATTGAAGTGATAAATGCAGTGAATTATAGTTAATTAGTAGCAAGAGGTGCAATGAATGTTGCTCTCAAGAAATTGTAGGTCTTGAGATAATAAAATTGTGGGTAATTAATTCATGTAATTCTAATTCTAATTTTCAATATTATTGAGTTTATGTAATTTGTAGATTTAGTAGTTGTTTGGTATGTATTAAAATAGCACATATTATTCGGCAGTGATAGGTAGCTCGAAACTGAGCGGTTCGAAATAGCTCGAATTTAAAAACGGCCTCGTTTTTTAGATGAAGGTGAAGCAGAACCAGAAGCAGGGGAGGGAGGAGGAGGAGGGAAGGAGGAGGGGAGGAGGAGGAAGGAAGAAGGAGGAAGGAGGAGGGACTGGAGGGAGAGGAGGAGGAGGGACTGAAGGGGGCCCAACAAATGGGTCTGGAGGCGGAGGCCGGGGGCAGAGGCGGCAGAGGCAGGGGCTGCGAGGGGCGGGGCTGCGACGGCGGAGCTGCTGCTGCGACGATCGGAGCTGCTCGATGATCGGCAGGTATCGGCGGCAGCGAGGCGACGGCGGTGGCGGTGGCGGTGGCGAGGCGAGCAACGACGATCCTCTCTCTCTCTTTCTCCTCTGTTCTTCCTCCTCTCTTCTTCCTCTCTTCTCTTCCTCTTTCTCCTTTGCTTCTTCCTCCTCTCTTCTCTCCCTTTTTTGAGCCAATTCGAGCCATTGGATTCGAGCTACGGCTCATTTCCGCATATTATTTTAGCACATTATCCTATTTTAGTTACAATCATCTTATTTAAATCATATCATCTCTCCACCACATCATTTCAAATCAAAATAATATTTCACGTTTTTTTTATAAAAAGTCAAAAATTATACTAATATAGCATTTTCCAAACAATCCATTAGTGCTTGTTTGGTATCATCTAAAAAAGATAAAAAAAAATCAAAAAGTCACTAAAAAAGTAAAAAAAAATTTACTATTCACAATGTTTGGGCGGAAAATGGGACTGAGTTTTCAGAGGGCAAAAAACATGCATAGCTCACAGCTGTTTAAGAAAAAAAAAGTCAAACAATGCACCAGTGCAGCTTAATGCATTGTGAGAGGGGAAGTGACAAGTGCTCAGTGCATTGTCAGAAGGACAGGAAGGTAATTTTGATATTTCACACAATATTTTAATACACATTTTTTTTGTAAAAAGTTAAAAAATTATCCTAAATAATTATATTTTTTTCTCTACTTTTTTAATTAAAAAGTCAAAAAGTATACTTATCTAATTCATCCCAAACAATTTCTTACTATAGTTTTTAAAAAAAAAAAAATTTAGAGTTTTGGCTTGTAGAAGTTTTTAACAGGCGATGGAAAAAAAACTGTTCAATGACATAATAAAAAAATTATAAAATCATGAAAAATATAATATTTTAATTATTAAACTATATAAATTTTTCAATTTTTCTCCCCTCATCCTGTTATTCTCCGAAGACAATTTACTAAAAATTTGATGTGACAACAAATGATGTTGTCAAAATTCCAAGTCAAATTTGACTTAAAAGTTTGATTTGTCATTTTATTTTTTATTTTTTAATCGTTTTAGTACAGATTCTCTCCAGCTACCCTCTCTGGCTATTCTTCCAGAGAACGGTTTAGATAGAGCCACGTCATCCCATAAGAAAATAAATGATTCAAATTTATTTTCTTAAACAAAAAATTTCAAAACACACCCATACCGAATCATTTCATTTTCTCTGACACTCCTCTCTCTCCCTCACCTAACTGCACTGCACGCACACGTCAGTCATATCCCACCCCTCTCTCTCTCTCTCTCTCTCTCATTTCTAATAAAAAATTTAAAAAATTATTTTAAACTTTTCAAATTTAAAAATTATTTTAAACTTTTTCATAACATATATAAAATTTTTAATACCTTAAAATTTTAATTTTATAACATTAATATCATTAAAAATATATCTTTAAAATGAGACTAATATTAAATATATTTAATAAATATTTAAAATAAATAAAAAATAATTACGATGTTTAGTTATGTTTTCAAATTATTATTTTTTAAATATAAAAATTAATTTGATAAAATAAACACACAAAAATCATATATTTTTGAAATTCTCAAAAATAATTTTCATTCCAAAAAAATCATATGAAAACAATGACTTTTAATTTAATTTTATTAACCAAACAAGTTTATAATTTTTTTAAAGGAAAAAAAAATTCTATATTTGATTTACACTTATTGAGAGGGTAATTTTTGGGAAAAATTGGGCCGAGCTGCGAGTTGGGCTTTGAGGCCCAAAATGCGAAGGACTGAGTAAAAAAGGCCGTAAAGGGTATTCCGGCCCAAGAGAGATTAAAGGCACTCCGGCCCAAGCTGTTAGATTTACTCCGGTTCTGAGGAGATGTTAACTCACTCCGGCCCAAGGAGGTGAGATTACTCCGGCTCAAGAAGAGATAGTTACTTCGGTCCAAGGAAGAGTAAAACTACTCCGGTTTGGAAGCAACTCACAGTAGGGCCGGTCTCAGTTAATCCGGTCGCAGTATGTTCTGGGAAGGCCGGTGTCGGAATTAGTCCGGTCGTGACTTACAATGGTTAGGTCGGTCAGAACTTGTTACTTGGAAGTTTGAACTAAGCACATCAAGGTTGAACAGGGCAGCCGAAGTAAGGAGTTGGAGGAGAAGACCGAGCTAAGGATAGTTCGGCCCTCTGTGGCTCGGTATAGCCAATTTTACTTCGGTCAAATGGAAGTTCGGCCATAAAGAAAACCATCCCACTTGGTTTAAGCAGTGGGGGAGGGTGTAAAAGGATAAGCATTATCCTTAGAAGAATGAATCCTAGGAGGACTCTGCATGGAGAAAGTAAAGAGGACTACAAAGGATAAATAGCTAAAATAATTTTAATAATTTATTTTTACATAGATTTAATTAATGTGATTTTTTTTTAATAAATAATATATTTAACAAATCTTACAATATAAATAATTTATATTATCAAAATAAATTCGGAATAAGTCTCCATTCCACCTCACAACATATGTGTGCTCTCCCTTCTTGGTCCTGTTTGGTGTAGCTGTTAGAACATATCATAGATTATAACTTAACAGATTATAGATTATGACTTTAATCAGAAATTGTTAATCTGTTTGGTGTAACTGTTGGATTATAAATAGAGTAATGTTTGTTAAATAAGCTATGTAGTAATTTTTTTAATTAGCTTTTATTTGTTATTATTCACTATTTGTCTACATTTCTCATAAAAAATA